TAAAATATGAGCTCTAAAGGTTCAACCAGTGGTGTACAACTAGACAGGGGTCACCCCCTTTTTATAAAAAAACCTACGCCACTGTATTTTTTACAAGTTATTGTAACGGATTTATATTCTAATGCACTACATAAGTAAAAAATGTGACCTGAAGTGTTTCCCTAAGGATCACAGTAGATATGCTATGGGCGTATCACGCCAAAATCCCATGTATTTTCTTATGGAGGTTCATATTAGCAGTTTTTGACGAATTTTACCCCCACTCCTCCACCTTTTCCCTTCCCCCTCCCTTCCCCGCCAGCCAATCAGAGCGCAGCATTTTGGCGGGAAATTCAAAAATGTAGTCATCTAGGTCTTTGTCCCCGCCTAGGACTCTGCCCCCTAGGACCCCCATGCAGGTATCTCCACGTAGGTATGCAGAATCCCACACGTAGGCGCGTGCTCCCTAGGGCTCCCACGTAGGCGCGTGCTTCCTGGGACCCCCACTTAGGACTTTGCCCCACCTAGGGCTTTGCCCCTTAGGCCCCCCATGCAGGTATCTTCATGTAGGTATGTAGGATTCCCCACGTAGACAAGAGTATTGTGCGTAGGCCTCCGCGTGTACCCCCGCGTAGGTATACCTAAATTGTATAGGGCTTCGCCCGCCACCGCGAGCCCCAAAACGTGGTCGAGCGGAGACGTAGGCAGTAGCCGCGATTTCCATTTCACAATAGTAGTTTATAACGCGGCCGAGCGTGTATCCGTAGATGGCGTTGCAAGTGGAGCGCGGTAATGTAATCATAAATGCCTGCATATTTAATTATTACAGACTACGGATAAAAAATATTTACTGGATTTCACTTTAGGAATGTTCGTTAAAATAGAACAGAAAGGGTCAATCCTTCTTCGTCTTAAATGTTCATATATATTTATCAAGTTCATATTAAAGCCCAATGGCAAATTCTTTTAAATAGCAAATTGTACTGAAATAGAAATTATTCCGCTTAGGTGTAATAAGAAAACCAAGTCAACAAACGCTAGCACAGCTGCCTTTTGCTGTCTCAGCAAAACAGCCAGTGGCCTGTTCTGGCGATATCAACTGCAGTCACTGCACTTTGCGGCTTTTCTTGGCTAAGACTGTTAATAATCAATTTATAAATAATCATAAATCATAAAATCAACGAGTCTGCTCTGCTTGTTTTTTGTTAAAAGTTTCTTGGACTGTTATATTGAGTGATGCTTTTTGTGTGTATCCTTTTGGATAAAGAAAGGTAAGTGACATTTCCAATTAAAAACGTAGCCTTGTATAGCAGTTATAATCTTAAACTGCAATTACTTTTCATAGAAAAAAATTGTATAATTAAAAATTTTAGCATTAAATTCTAAGACAATTAAACCAGCTCCCAAAATTAGTGGTATATTAAACAAATTCACTTAAATGTTTATTGTTTAACGAAGAAAAATTCTATTTAAAATCAGTATTATACAGGGTCTTATTTTAGCAGTTGAGAAGAAACAATAGCTACTGGGCCTTTATAAAAGATACAAATTAGTTAACAAGATGGCTAAAATCTAAAGAATTATTTTTTATATTATTATTTTTATAGACAGCGGAAAGACAGAGAGAGAGCAGCATTGAAAAGGCATGCGTTTTGGCTACAGAATGACAGAGACGTGGAAACCAAAAACAAGGCGTACGAAGGGTAAGTTGCTTTAAATTTCATCATTTCAGATTACTTTTCAGTTTTAATACACAGCCCACGTATTCTAAAAACTTTAATTAGCTGTTAAAATAGCTTATTTATAATAAAATCATATTTAAAGCATTAATATTAAACTATAATTATTTTTCATAGTAAAGAAAACTTACAATTAAAAATATTGGCTTATTTCAACAGGAAAACAAGCTAAAAAAATCCCTCAAAACATATTAACATTCTAAAAACTAATTTAGCTGGTAAAACAGCTTATTAATACAGAAAAAATCACTTAATCGTAATAAACGTTAACTAAAATTAAATACAGGGCTTTATTATAATAACAATAAAAATTTTTTTATTTAAAACTAGTATTATACAGGGTGTTATTTTAGCAGTTGAGCAAAAATAATAGCTACAGGGTCTTTATAAAAAGTTACAAATTATTCAACAACAAGATGGCGGCTAAAAATCTAAAACATTAATTTTATAGGCAGTTGAAAGTCTAACCAGGACAGAAAGGCATGAATTTCGGCTACAGAGGCATGAAGTTCAAAACAAGATAACAGAATGACAGAGACACGAAGAAAGAAGGCATACGAAGGGTAAGTTGCTAGATTTTTCTGCATTTCAGATCGCGTCGTTTGTACCGATTCAATACACAGTTAAATATGCTGGCTTGATAGGTACCCGTGTCGTGTAGGGGTCTATCTTAAACGATTACCTAAGGGTAATCATTGGATTTTTCCTTGCCAACGAAAAAAGGTTTCAGCCACACGCGAAAAACTTAAATCCGCCCGTGAACGCGAAAGGCCTTCGGGCTATCGAAACGATAAAAATGGCTGTCTTGTGGTTAGGGCAAATTCAAAATATAATTGTTCGGTACCATACTCTTAGCGCAATTCAAACATCTCGACGGCAGTGTTTCAAACTAAACAGATCCGTTGCGACTTAGAACATAATTGAATGTTATAGGGTCTTTCCTTACAATTAAAAATTACTATTGACCCTTTACATTAAAAATATTCAGATTTTATTTTTCATAAAATAATTTTTTGCCACTATTTTTTTAGTAAAGTACAGTTTGACGTCATTTTTCATAATTTTTCCATATTTAATTTTTCTATATGTAATTTTTTATTAAAGTACAGTTTTAGTAAAGTATAGTTTTGACTTAATTTTCACATAAATAATGTTTAATAAATAATTTTTTTGTTTTTTTATTAAAGTTCAGTTTGACGTCATTTTGCATCGGAAAGTGCTGCCCCGAATTCTCCGGTTTCTTCTTTTTTAAATATAAGACTAAATTTTTCTATATTTAATATTACGTAATTTTTCTACTTTTTAGTAAAGTACAGTATGATATATTTAATTTTTAATCATTTTTTTACTGACACTATTTTTTATATACGACTGATAAATTTTGATACCATAAATGTTATGCTGTTAGACACTTCCGCCACCCCTGTATGCGTGGCCTCAAGAAACATCTTGAGGACCAAGGAGCAGGAGGTGATAACTGTTCGACAAACCAAGCTGTATAAGCCTCTCTCCGTCAAGAGACGGTTCCTGAACGACCACACAACTTGTATGTAACGCTCTGTATTATAGATAATTACATTGAAAAATAAAAACCATATTTTACATGCAGCGTTTTTATTTTTCCTCATCTNATGTTATTATTATTATTATTATTATTATTATTATTATTATTATTATAGTATTCCTAATATCGATATAGTCGCAGTGAAAATTAAACTTCTTAACAAGCACCTTTGCAATTTTTACTATTTATATTCCACCTAATGCATCATGTGAGGACTACGAATGTCTGTTTGATAGTCTTGAATCTCTCAATGAACTTTTTGGGTCATGCATTCTTATCATAGAAGATTTTAATATCCCGAATTATAATTTTAACGCATCCTCCCGGTGTATAAATCTTTTGCGACAGTTTGTCAATTATTATGATCTTGAACAATACAACCTAGTAACCAATGTGAACAATACAACTTAGTAACCAATGATATTGATAGACTCTTGGATCTTGTTGTTAGTACTGAAACTTGTTCAGTACGCAAGTCCTACGAACTGTTATTACCTATTGACCCTCATCATCCGGCTCTATGTATAGACACTGGCATGTATGGTCCTCACAATGATGTTTTTCCTATTTTAGACTCTCCATCTTCAAATTTTAAAAAGGCGGACTTCACGGTTTATATAGTGAACTCAATGCTATTGATTGGTCACTACCAACCGACGTCTCCGTTCACACTGTTCTTCAACACTTTTATGACAAAATAAATTATGTTTTAAGAAACATATTCCCACGAAAACACCTTCACGTAAATGTTTTTCGCGGTGGTTTAACACAGAAATAATAAACCTCTTAAAAATCAAAAACCGAGCTTGGAAAGTTTACAAAAAATCAAAACTGCAGGTTGAGTACGATCATTTTAAAAGTATTCGAACACAGTTTAAATGTTCTGTAACAATTGCTTATAATAATTATATTCAGGAGGCTGAAAGTTCCATACAAAATGATACCAAAAAATTTTGAAATTTTATTAACAAAGCAAAACTCTACCTGTATATCATCCTACATGAATTATGATAATTCCAAACTGGAAAATCCCCAGGACATTGTGAACATTTTTGTCCACTATTTTAGTAACTCTTTTATTACATCCTCGAATTATGAACCCGATGTTATACATCACTTTAATAATAACGCTATTCCCGCTGTTACATCTGAGGGTTGCTTTCGCTGTACAGCAAGAAATAAACGCTCTCTCAACGGTAATAATAAAGAATTTTATTAAAAACTAATGTATAGAAAACTTTGGAAAAAACGTGTTGACGGTGTGAGTGTTCGTTGGAGAGTCCTTGTGGTTGAAGTCGGTCGTAGGTAGCTTGGTAGTCGTTGGCAGAAGTCCCTGGTCCTGGCGCCACTCTGCAAGGGTCGGCTTCCGGGAACCCCGTGGTGCGTCCGGCGGCGCTCTTGACGTTGTGCTTACAAATGGGTCACTTGCGAACATGTGTACCCACACATCTTTTACTGAAGACAGTATTAGAAAATCGATAAGAAAGATTAAAGCAAATATGACAACCGGACCGGATAATATGCCTGCGTTTATTATAAGAGACTGTGCTACCATTTTTTATAAACCACTTTTAAAAATATTCAACCTTATTCTTAAGCACAATACCTTTCTTGGCTTATGGAAGAATGATGTTGAGAATTACCGACCTATTGCCATTTTATGCAACTTCTGTAAAATATTTGAAATATTAATTCATGAACACCTTTCCTTTTACACAATGAACCTGATAATTACCGAACAGCATGGATTCATGAAGGGCAGATCCATAGTGTCGAACCTTGTATGTAGCACCCAGTTTATTGCCGAAATGCTGGATAGGAGGGGTCAGGTGGACGTCATCTATACTGACTTCTCTAAGGCATTTGACAGGCTTGATCACGGTAAACTGTTGTGTAAGCTCGAAGCTTGCGGTGTCAGTAGGTCCTTTCTCCAGTTGTTAAAATTATATATTTCCCACCGTGTTCAGTTTGTACGGTACCGTGGTCACAGTTCTGTGTTTTTTAATCAACCATCTGGTGTGCCGCAAGGCCCATACTTGAACCTTTGCATTTTATTTTGTATATTAATGATATCGCCCAAGATCTAAATGTTCACTTCTTGTTGTACGCTGATGACCTCAAGTTCTATGTAGATATTAACTCCTAATCCGATTGTTTGCAACTACAGCATGACTTGAATCTGCTTAATGTATGGTGTAATTATAATCGACTGCCCTTGAATGCTTCCAAATGTAATGTTATATCATTTGTTCGTAAAAATAGTAAAATTTGTTTTAATTATACCTTAAATAATCAGATACTTAATCGGCCTGAATTTGTCCAAGATCTCGGCATCATTTTTGACGGCAAATTAACATTCAATAAACATATGGAAGAATGCATAGCTGGAGCGTACAAGAATCTGGGGTTCATACTACGTAACAGCAGAGATTTTAAAAACATATCTACATTACGAGTATTATTTAATAGCTTTGTTAGGCCTAAATTGTAGTACGGCTCTGTAATTTGGTCTCCAAGTTTCATATTGGATGGGATTTATCCAACCAGAGGGTATTCACAAGACTTATTATTGAAACGATTTGAGATGAGCAGTCTAATTAGAAGGAGGATTATGAATTCTATAATTTTCCTATGCAAGCTTGTTAACAATGGTATGGATTGCATTATGCTTACCTCTGTTGTTAGCTACAGAGTTCCTAGAGCCAACGCTAGATCTAATAATAATTTATTTGTTGATCCCTACTCCCGTACTAATATTTTGCAGTGGTCTCCCTTGTATATGATGCTAAGAAATTACTGTAACATTGAAGAACGGCTAGATATATTTAACTGTACGCTTGCGGATATAAAGCGTGCTTACACATTTTAAGATCTGTATTTTATTCTTATAAGTCATGTTTTATTTTTGTCTTTATTTTGTAATATTGTTATATCAGTGTTAGTTATATTATATTGTTTTGCCGTTATTTTTTAACTATACCATTTTGCTGTTTTGTTGTAATTATGCTACTTTTATGTTACATATTTTCTGTTTTTATTCATCCTGTAAAAGGGTTATCATACCCGTTGGATGAATTAAATTAAATAAATAAATAAGTAAATTTTTATTTAATTTTTAAAGCACTCTAAGACAATTTTTCACAAAGTGCTCACCATGCTTTATCAACAGCAATTTATAAGGACTAATTACAATTATGACTAATTAAACTTCTTCAGCAGCAATAAGATTGACATGCAGGAAGTAGTGTGAGCGACAAAGTTGTAAAAAACTTTAGACCCTTTTAAGGCTTTTTGTTTTTATATACGAGCACACAGTCGATACTTTTAAGGAATTAAATAATGAAAAATATATGAGCAGTTTTTATTGAAATTATTTGACAGCTAATTTTTGTTTGAAAGTCCTGTACTCTTTTCATATATGTCAATATATTCTAAAATTATATTCGGAAAAACAAACCTACCTACCTGTAAAATTTGTAAGTAGTGTTGTTGATACACATGAAGGTGACCGAGAAGACCATACTCCATTTTTACAATGAAGAGTTGCCATCCCTAAAAGCTTATATAATCCTAGCTCTCTACATCTTGTTTGCAGTTTTGCTCCATGAGGAAAAACCCATCCAGTAGTCTTAAATAATTATTAAGTAATTAGATACTATATAACATATAAAATTAATTGTGTCATGCTTTCAATAAATTGTTAGGTTTCAATAGAGTATGACTTGTTTCTATAAGAATTACTTAAAAAAAAAGGTGAAGTTATATGGATGAAATAACTGAATGAAGTCACCTTATTAATTCAAATACTAAAAAATATATAACAATCTTTTTCTCCAAACAGATGTTAAGATATGGATTTTATAAGTGGCTCGTGTGCTTTATAAAGATGAAATTTCTTATTTCATCTTAATAAAGAATCATTAAAAGTACAAACCACTTAGAATGTTAATTCTTAATATTTCAGAGCTGATCAAAAATCTTTTTAATAAAAGCGAGTCTACCTTTATTACAAGTTTTAAACTTTATTAGAAACAATTATTTTTTTTATACTCACACTCACAATCATTCAAGTGCTTATTATGTTTCTATAAAGTACTGCAAGAACAGTTTAACAATGGTAGTTTTCAAATTATTGCTAAATCAAAATAATTTCTTCCAGTTGAAACAATGTACTTAATTAAAAATCGTGAAATAATCTTATATTAGGCATAAATACAGCAGTACAGTTCAACATTCGATTAATCTACTTTAGTTTTAACTAATAACTGGCTGCAGAATCATAAAGATTTTATTTATTATGCCTTATTTAGAATATTTTTTTTTCATTAGTACTTTTAAATTATAATTTTTTTAATATTAGCTTTTGTGCTTTATTTTAAGCGGTATTAAAAATATTCCGTTTTCCAAAATACGATTATAAATACAGTGTTATTATCAGAACGTAAGAGGAACTTTTGAGGAGGGAAAATTAAAGCATATTGTAAATGAATTAAAAAAGGGTAATGTTGACGTAGTTGCACTACAAGAAACGAAACAATTAGGGGAACTGGTAATGGAGATAGGGGGCTATATATTTATAAATAACGGGGGAAAGGATAGACTACTGGGCACAGGGTTCCCAATAAGGAAGGAACTAAAAGAGTTAGTAGTACAGTATAAATTAGTTTCAAATAGGATATGCCTTTTAAGGCTTAGAGGAAAGTATCAAAAAATAACTTTTTTGAACATACATGCACCACATGAAGAAGCGGATCTAGGGAGCAAGGAAGAATTCTATAACGAATTGGATAGATTATACGAAGAGATTCCAAAGTATGATATGAAAATTTTGTTGGGGGATGCAAATGCAAAAATAGGTAGGGAGGAAATGTATAAACCCACAATAGGAGATCATAGCAAACACGAAGTAACCAATGAAAATGGAAAATTCTTAATTGATTTTGCAAAGGAAAAGAACCTGATTATAAAAAGTACATACTTCCAAAGGAAAGAAATATACAAAGGAACATGGAGATCACCAGATGGGAAAACAATAAATCAGATAGACCACATTGCAATAGAAAAGCCGGAGGTAAAATGCATTAAAAATATAAGGACTTATAGAGGTTTAGACGCAGATACGGATCACTTCATGGTAGGAGCAAAACTAGATCAACAGATACCAGAAACTAGAAACCAGAGGAGGGAAAAAATAAGAAATAGAGTAGTTGTTAGGCCAGGAACCAGAGAGGAAAAAATAGAATATGAAAGCAATCTAAGTAGAGAATTAAGTAGCAGTAATAATACTAATGAAACGACAACTATAGAAGAAATGTGGGCAGGAATAAAAACAAAAATAGTAAGAGCAGGTGGAAAATACAGGAAAAAAGTGAGGAAACAGGAAAAAGAATGGTTTGATAATGAGTGTAAGGAGGAGCTAGAAACTAGAAGAAAATTGAGACAAAAGATGCTACAAGAAGGAACGGAGGAAGCAAAGAATAAATATGAAGAGCAAAGAAGGAAAACTAAAAAGGTGCTAAGAAATAAGAAAAGGAAAAATTATGAAACGGTATTAGAACAAATAGAAGAAAACTTAAGAAATAACAATATTAGGAATTTATACCAAGGAGTGAAGAATGAGAAAAGGGGGTATCAACCAAGACCAGTATTTTATAAGGATAAGAATGGGAAGATAGTGGCAGGAGAAAACGAAATATTGAACAGGTGGAAAGAATATTTTGAAGAATTATTAAATGGAGATGAAACCGATGATACGGAAAGAGAAGAAAATAATAGCAACATAGAAGGAGACAATATGGTGCCAGCGCCAAGTAAAGAGGAAATTAAAGAGATACTGTCAAAATTGAAAAATAATAAGAGTCCAGGAAGTGACAAATTAACAGCCGAACTATTTAAATATGGAGGACATGAACTAGCAAACCAATTACAGAAACTACTAGAAAGATGTTGGGTAAAGGAAGAACTGCCAAAGGAATGGACGGAAGCAGAAATTTGCCCTATTCATAAAAAAGGGAATAGAGGGGAATGCCAAAACTACAAAGGAATAGCATTGCTGAATGTAGCATATAAAATACTGGCCACTTGTTTAAAAAACAGGTTGGTAAAGGAAGCGGAGGATAAAATTGGTGAATATCAGTGCGGGTTTAGACAAGGAAGAAGTACAGTAGACCAAGTTTTTACTCTGCGAGAAATTTAGGCTGAAAGCTTCGAATACGGTAAGCCAACAGTAGTTCTGTTTGTAGATTATCAACAAGCTTATGACAAAATAGAAAGAAGTGAGCTATATAAGGTCTTAGAGGAATTAGAAATCAGCAAGAAGATAAGGAACATGGTACGCCTAACATTGAAAAGACAGAGAATAAAGTAAAAGTAAACAATAGATGCACGGAAGAGTTCGAAGTTAAAAACGGCGTCAGACAAGGGGATCCATTATCAGCAGTGTTATTTAGTTTAGTGCTAGAAAAACTCATAAGAGATGCAGGAATTAATAGATCAGGCCTTATTTACTATAAAAGACATCAGTGTTTGGCATTTGCGGATGATCTTGTAGTGTTAGCAAGAAATAAAGCAGAATTAAAAGAGGTAATAAGGAGAATAGATGAGCAATCAGTTAAAAGGGGACTATATATTAATGAGACAAAAACTAAGTACATGGAATGGTCGGAAGAAGAATATCAAAAAGACAAGTTTCTGAAAGTAGATACAAACAGAGGGAAAACGTACAGATTTGAGGAAGTTGAACATTTCACATATTTAGGAACAGTAGATATGCTATAGGCGTATGGAGCCAAAGTCCCATGTATTTTCTTATGGAGGTTCATATTAGCAGTTTTTGACGAATTTTACCCCCACTCCTCCTCCTTTTCTCCCACGTAGGCGCGTGCTCCCTAGGGCTTCCACGTAGGCGCGTGCTTCCTGGGACCCCCACCTAGGACTTTGCCACACCTAGGGCTTTGCCCCCACCTAGGGCCCCCATGCAGGTATCTTCATGTAGGTATGTAGGATTCCCCACGTTGACAAGAGTATTGTGCTCCGCGTGTACCCCGCGTAGGTATACCTAAATTGTATAGGGCTTCGCCCGCCACCGCGGGCCCCAAACGTAACCGAGCGGTGACAGGATCAGTAGCCGCGATTTCATTTCACAATAGTAGTTTATAACGCGGCCGAGCGTGTATCTGTAGATGGCGTTGCAAGTGGAGCGCGGGCCTAATNGTAAGACAATCAAATATTTTTTCTGAATTCAGTTTTAAGTTATTAATAAATCTTAAAACATTGGCAATTGTTCTTTGCAAACGAATAAATGAAGAGAACCTATTAAATATTTCATTTCAACATTCATAAGCCAAATTTAGATTGATTGTTAAAAATGCCTTTCTTTCTTCAGGAGAATTTTCTAATGTGCAAATAAAATCAAAATTATGCAAATTTAAATTGATTTGATGCAAAAACTTTGGACCATGCCACCGTATATCTGATTTTATGAGTTCACTTGGTGTTATTCCATGAGATAAACAATCTGCAGGGTTATCAAGAGATTTTATGTGACGCCACCGGTAGTTTGACGTAAGATTATGTATGATGCATGCATGTGAATTTATCCAGTGTAAGGTGAATCGACAATATTTTTTGTGTTAATTTTGCAAGGAGTAACATGGCGCATAATTCAAGCCTTGACAGAAATTTTGATTTAATTGGTGCTATTCTTGATTTTAAATATACATATATATACAAGCTCCATAAGCTTTGATGCTAGCATCTGTAAACGCAATTCAATTGTAAGAATGTCATAATTACTAAATAAATAACGAGGAACTTTGAAATTATTTAAATCTAACATATTTGTTATAAATTTTCTCCAATGAATGAGTGTTTATGGATCTAATTGTTCATCCCAATTTATTTTGCTTATCCAAATCTTTTGCATTATAATTTTTCCTGTGACTGTTATTGGTACTATTAGACCTAGTGAATCAAACATTTGTTATAACTTTGATAAAACCTCTCTTTTAGTGAAATTACTTTCTTGTGTTTTATAGGGAGATATAAAAGAGAAAGAATCTAGTTTTGGATTCCAATATATTCCTAACGCCTTACTGGACATATTATCTATTTTTATTGTGTATGTGAATTGTGAACTATGAGAACAAATATTCAAAAAATCACTTGAGTTTAACTTATGTAACTTAAAATTTGAGGAATTAAGTGATTTATTTAATTGATTGCAAGCAATTATCACCTTTTTTCTAAATTAAAAAATTTTTCAGCAATTGTAAATGAATCTCCCAATTCTACATATTCATTTTTCGTTTTTAGTGGCAAATTAACCTGATATGATCCGTTTTCTAACTTTTGTGTTGTGTTTTCAAATATCATTTCGGCAAGTTTACCGTCTGGACATAATACAGGGATTGAGGTAATTTATGAGTAGCTAAAACCAAGTTACAGAGACAATATGAAAAAATTCTAAGAAAGCTGTATAGCCTTAGGGATTTCTATCACTCCTAAGGTCCATGCGGCAATTGTTCACATTCCTAATTTTTGTAAAAGAAGAAAACAATGTCTTGCCGGTTCAGACGTAAGAGGAAATTTTTTTTCTATATTTAATTTTTCATAAAATGTAAAACTATTTTTTTTTCTATATTTAATTTTTCGTAATTTTTCTACTTTTTAGTATAGTTTTGGCGTAATTTCTACATAAAATAATTTTTCTGCTTTTCTATATTAAGTTTTCATAAAATAATTAGTAATTTGCGGCTTGAAACAATTTTAAAAAAATTACAAAAACTTACCAGTTTGGCCAAGGAAAAGCGGCAAACGGGCCCAGAGGGTGGCTGCAGAGGCAGGTAATATGGTGGGGGCGGTTCTTTGATAGCTATAGGGGGCCACACAATAATTAGTTGGAAGCCCCGGCAACTCAATTCCACAAAAATATGTTCGCACGTATGCGCACAAACGAAAGCGTTATCTATACATACCCCTTGAAGGCGACAACCCTTATCTTATTAGGACTGGTATTACAGACGCCAAGGGTTGTACTCTCCCGCATGAAAGCGGTACCTGTCACGCTAACGTGAGGAAGAAAGTCGACCACCAACCCAAATTCCCATTTTCTTAGCCTCGCAAACACCACCTCCGTACACCTCAACAGATTAGCGAAGAATGAACGAGTAACCGACATGTCTCAACTAGTAACTTACTACGCGTATAAGGTGTCGTCATGTTTTACGTCATGCTGTTATCACATTTGAAATTATTATCAGTTTTAAAAAAGGTGTTGAAAATTCTTCAATAAAGGTGAGTTTTTTAAAATATGACGTGTCGCATATCAAAAAAAAAACTACGCATACAAGGTCTTCTCCACCAGAGATAACGAGGAGAAGGTCGTGTGTAAACGACTGGTAAATTTCGATACCATAAAAGATATGGTATTGGACACTTCCGCCACCCCTGCATACGTGGCCTCAAGAAACATCTTGAGGACCAAGGAGCACGAGGTGATAACCGTTCGACAAACCAAGCTGTATAAGCCTCTCTCCGTCAAGAGACGGTTCTTGAACGACCACACAACTTGTATGTAATTATCATAATTGTATTGGGAAATAAAAACCATATTTTATGTACAACGTTTTTATTTTTCCTCATCTTTTCAAACTTACAAAGGTTAGAAATAATAATACTCAATCATATGATACAAGTTTTATTAAGGATATCTGTACATAACATTACAATACATTTCACCGTAATTTTTACGTTTGCATTTTTTAAATAAATTATCTGAGGCTTCATTACTGCAAAACGCCGAAAACTGTTCACGTTCTTTCACATGGTCTACAAGGGCTGTAGCATGTCCTTTTCTACGATGCGCTTCCAGCGTATAAATGTAGTTCAACGTCTTTGGATTTGAATGCTTGTTGAAGGGGTCAAAGTTCATTTTAGGCAGCAAGGCAAACGATACGGGTTTTTTGTCTTCATAACGTATATAACATGAAGGCTGTTTATCCAAGTACCATTGATTAATTAATACATCGTCGCGAATATTTAGCTTCCTTATCTCTCTCAAGGCTCTTGCTTTAAAGTAGAACACTGTTTTCATTTTTACGATTTGTCACTACCAAGAACAAGACAAGAATGAGACGCTTGCTCAAGGTATTCTTATTATGTAGAAGGGGGTAAGAAATTAAATTGCGCTCGTATTTTAATCTATTTCTAGCATTTTATTGACGTCTTTTACAAAAATTTTAATCGGTGTATTTGAGATATTAAATGTTTAATGTAAAAATGTCATCTGAACGATGCATAAATGGAAAACGTTATAATCAGTCAATGCATAGATCAGAGGTGCCTAGGAATCTTAAGTAATTATGAAAATATGGCGTCTAAAAGCAAAAGCCTGTCATAGCAACCATATTAAAATTAAGATTCCTAGGCACCTCTGATCTATGCATTGACTGATTATAACCATTTATGCATCGTTCAGATGACATTTTTACATTAAACATTTAATATCTCAAAAACCCCGAACTGTGGGTATAGGGAAGTGTACATAAAAGTGATTCGAAATTGCTTGTAGAATACGAATTCTCAATTAGTTGTAGGGCATTCCATAAAAATTATTGCAGTTACTTGCTATTAAAGATGACTTCCGGTATTTTCCGGATGTGCCGGAAGTGCGACACTTTTATGATATCAGACTTTAGTAAGTACTTCTAAAATAAGTTAAAGATACCATATGACTTTGTCCCTTTCTTCGTTTGTTTACTTTCAAAAGGATTTTATAAATGACACATTTGACATTTTAAAGTGCGATTTTCTCGGAAACTGTCAAAGATAAGTATAGGACATAATACATATTTTAGTGTTAGTTTCTTCAGCAGAATTGAAAACAAAAATAATATACAGGGTGTTCCATATGAAATAACAAAGTTTAGGGCATTTCCGGTCAAACAGGAAGTGACAGTCAGTTGTTTTTATGATTAAATTTTGCATCAAATTCAATGATACGCATGCTCAAAATTTGAAGTCTATATATTTTTTCGTGCGTAAGCTAGAGCCTGGGTAGTAATCTCGTGATCACCCGGTATAGTATGGGCTCGGATACTTTTCTCCCCGAGCGCTTTCTGATACATAATACTGCATAAGTTCTTTCGATCTTTTATTACGTAGCTAATATTTAAACTCTTTTCCACCATCCTGGCATAGCTTTGTAGCGTTAAAGTAACCGGTGTCCTTGTCGATGATAATTTTAAAATCTCCATATAAACCTTACCAGTATTGATCTTGGATTTGCTCGAAGCAAACATCTCGTAGACTTTTCATTTTGAGATTATATTAAAAGCACGTCTGAACACTTTGAATGTTAGATGAAGAATGATTACTGTTGCTACTATGCTGCCGCTATTTATCATTCAGAAAAATGTTGAACAATATCCTTTAGCAAATTCAGTTCACACATGAAGAACTCATTCTCCACACGATAACTTTCAAGAGTCTGATTAACAGCTGTCTCTGTCTCCACTGCACTGAAAACTGATTAAGTCTACGTAAAAGAACAAGTCAAAGTTGGCTCTATAATTGTTGAACTGTTTAAGCCTTGTCTCAGGATCTTTAGTGTATCCCACTTTGTATACATTTCTAGCTTCATACTTCATGGTTGTTGCTATGTAAACGTATCCGCCTTTCTCTTTTGTTCTCGGCAATCACATCCATCAAATAACTTCTAGCATTGCAGGATGCAGATACGTTCCAGAAATAATCGTATTGTATACGGGGTTCTTATTACCCGTTACTGTTTGCAGGGGATAATAGTCCCCAGCACTTTCTGATGTATAAAGTCGCATAAGTTCTAAACATTCAAAGAATACATATATTTATACAGGGTGTAACCAAAATGTTTGTCCAAACTTGAATAACGGATTCTATTTCACAAATTCCTCGTGCAAAGACGTAAAGTATTGCGTCATTCGACTGAGATCACGTGAACAACCATTGAGATTGAGGATAAGAATATGGACAAAAATAAAAAATATGTTTAATGCATGCGCAGAACATACTTGTAATTAGTACCTTAGTTTCTTCAAAATCGCTATGTTAGCATAAATCATGATAAGAGAGGTCAATGAACTCCAAACAGCATTACGCCATTCTTAGGTCGTCTGGGGTCAAGGTTCAGACCTGTTTTCTACCGGTTCAGACCTGTTTTTTAGCATAAACTGTAACCTGATATTTTATTTCCTTTAAAATTGCAGTGTTAGCAAAAATTCTAACCTAATATGCAGGTTTGCTAGTAAACCTAGCATAAGCCTCTTTAGCTCAGTGGTAGAGCACTGGTCTTGTAAGGTTTTCCTTATACATGAAAGGTGAGAGGAAATAAAACAAGCAAGGATAAGTAAACATATATTATGCATATTAAAATATAATAAATGTAATATTATAACGTAATTGGTACAATTTTTGTAGATGTAAGTCCATCCTTTGTTGCGGAAAATCGATGAGGATTCGTAAATACATCATCCCACTTGTCTTGAATATTCATCTTTTGAAACTGTTTAGCCATTTTGCACTGGTTATCGTAGTATGTTATTTCGGATTTTAATTGGCGAATTTTTTACAAGATGTTTATCTAATAACGGCTTGAGAATTTTTCTCTTGAATCTATCTCTATCCGCAGCAAANTTAACTATTTTTATCCCACAAATCGGTATGGGCTGGTTCACAGGAAGATCCTGTAGATTAATTACTGGATTCCTGCGGATGTAGGAAACCTCATTTATTTGACTTAGATTCATGCTACGACAATAGAAAAATCAGGTGTAAAAGAGTGAAAAAATAAATAAATAAATAAATAAAAAATAAAGGATGTGTTTAATAAATAATTGACTATGTCAAAAACAAATAACTTGTATTTTGTAAAGGGACACTTGAGATAATTACTTGAACAAGCTGTTGCTATAGACGGTGTAGGGACACAAACACATATAAACTACGGAAGAACTAGCTGGAAACTAATTGCTTCTGCAAGCTATCGATGTAGACTAGCAAATGATAACTTTATTTCACTGTGTATATATATCATCAGTTTGACCGTGACTCTTATTACATCCGGCTGACGTTCGTTATTCTTATCGCATGCTGTCTAGACGCTACGTGGACACAATTTTTGCTAACATTACAATGATAAAGAAAATAATATATCAGGTTACAGTTTATACTAAAAAGCAAGTCTGAAATTGTACAAAACAGGTCTGAACCAGTAGAGAACAAGTTTGGACCTGCAGAAAACATGTCCTAAATTGAGGTGACCTTGACCCTAGGTGACCTCAGACGATCAGAGGTCGATGTCCTTGGCATGACCTTGACCCCAGACGACCAGAGGTCGATGACCTTGACATGACCATGACCCCAGACGACCAGGGGTCGATGACCTTGAC